ATTCGAAAGCTTCTGCTAAAGCAGGGAAATCCGTCCGCTCCTGGATTAATACCCTTTACCTTTCGATGACTGCCTCTAGTAATAGTACTTCCTCTAGCACTACGTAGGTAAACACCAACCAATAAGCAACAGAAAGGGACCACATTACGTACCCATCCCGCTACAAAAGCCTGGTAACGGTGAGGGCTATTTTCCTGCAGAAATTACACCTAGTGGGGTTTGGCAGCCGAGCCATGGCGATTCATTCAAGCATCACCTAAAGACAGCTGGACCGCCCTGACCAAAACCCAACTGGTATTTCCTGTTATACTGGATTTCTCATCACTTTTTCACTTCAATTTGACTCGACACAGGCAACTTCTAAGTGAAGTTTCAGCTTCAAATCCGACCTCGCTGATCCACGTCGACTTACTGAAACTAACGCCTGGTGGTGTTTTCTTACCAATGCATATGTATTAACCTCAAATCTTAGGGAGGGCATTGAGAGGAAATCCTTGCTTCTTATTTATCAGTGCAGACTAATTAATTCCATTTCTGAATTTTTACTCTTAGTGGAATGTCTGGAGAAATTCGACACAAATCTCACCATGTCATGTAATGAAGGAAAGGAATGGAAGAACAGGTTAGTTTCATCAAACATGAGGTTCTTTCAAAAAAAATTAGATGCCTAATACGCAATTTAGCTGTAGTTGCTCCATCTCTTCTATTTCCATTAGGAAAACGCAATGGTTATCCGATCCGCATTCTGTCACTTCTCCTTTATAGTGAGACCACTAAGAGGCCGAGCCCCGGTAACCCGGTGGTTGGAGTTAAGAATGTTGAACATGAATTTCCCTTCATTCTTTGATTTCCCTCGAGCTTCATCCTTGTGTCCGCGCATCCCCTTTATGCAACAGTAGGATGAAAGGTGTCTTCCAATTTATGTTTTTAAGCCATATCGTTCCGGGCATCTGACGGGATTCAATGATAGACTGTCGAAAAGGCCTCGTATTCATTCCGTGATTTGCAAAATGCAGATACAGTTGAGAATTTCTATGAAGTTAGGGTGTAGAGCCCGGAGGTGGAGTGAAAGGCTGAAACCGCAGAGGTGGTTTCCTACCTCTGCGGTTTCAGCCTTTCACTCTACCTCCATCCCTCTGATTTGATAACAGTTTTGTGCTTCTCCATAATTTCAGTGAGACAACTGTATCCGTCTTATACATTACCAAGTTGTACTATTATTCGCAATGTGTTCACCTCTGTACAGAATTTTCGAGTTGCAGAGTTGATCTAACCTTCAGGCGTGATACTGCTGATTTTTTGGTTTCATACCTCCAAAGTAGTGAAATGATAGTGAACCTTGGTGGATTAACGAGATCTTCAAGATCTATTCAGCGATCACGGTTGAAATGAAACAAAATAAAATGTTCATGAGAATGAACAAGGGATGCGTGATGTCTACTTACTTCAAAAATCGTCGTCTACAATTTTATCATATTCTCTCCATGGAAGGCCGGTCAAGCCCTGACCGCCAATCGGCTTTTGAAAACGCAGCCCACAAATATCCACTACATATGAAAAGAAATTTTCTAGATATTACTATGATGCTGATCTGCGACTTTGTCGGATGTACTGGCATGGCGGCTGCTTTTCGTACTCTAAAAACGATTTTCCGGATCAAGAGACGTGCCAATGGAAATGTATGGGCGTACATTCAGAACTTGCTTCAAGTGAGACTTCGTATTTCTTTTTTTCTGTTGCAGTTCTAAGACTTTCTCGTATAAGCACTCAGCGATGTCATAAACAGCTATCTATGAATATTTGCAGAAGCCTGTTTGGACCCATTTGATCAAGCATATCTTGAAGACTGTCGCCATGGCGAATTCAGCTCTCGGTATTACTTCAACTATGGACGGTACGTTAAAAATAGTATTCTGTTTGTTTATACATGATCGAAACTCTAACAAACTTCCGAAGAAGCCACTCGAAATTCGTGGAGGATGCTAGTGACACATTTCCTTAGAAGTAAGGAACTCGAATTAAGCGTCGGGTACTCCAACATTGCCAGAATCCAGGGAGGGGCATACCAGGCATAAGAGTCCAGAAGTATTCACATAGTACAAGTACTTTCTTGAGTGATCTGAAAAGTCAATGATGAACATCGATGACGATTACGATCGCAATCCCAATATCACGTGGCAATCATACACATATTGGAAAGTTCAGCGTATGGTTTAAAGGCACCGTTCACGATAATTTTGGGTAATACAGATTATGATGAAAAATGGAAGACAAGATCGAAACTAGGTGAAGGAACTGTGTGCATCGGTGTTTCCAAAGTGAAAAAAGGCTTCGAAAAAACTTTAAAAAGTAGGCTAGACGAGAATGAAAACAGAAAAATGGAGAAGAGTGGGGTGTTCGGACGAGCTAAACAGCGTGTTTCACTGCGCGCGTGTGGGTCCTGGTGCGAATAACAGTCAATAGTAAGAAAAAATTCATTCACTTATAAGCATAAATAAACAAAAAAAACCCAGTCACAGCAAAAGTAGCTCACCTTTTTCAGCCTCTAGGAGTAGGAAATTAAATAAGGGACCGCGGCAGCAAAAAGGAAAACAGGAAAAAAGAATGGAAAAAAACGTCGCCTCATCACTCGGCGATTAGCTGATTGTGCGTGGGTCCTAGAACGAATAATAGCAATCTGTATTGTCTCGACACTCGTCTAACGTGACACCGATCGAGGGGTTGGAACGCGAACCATGGCAACAATGGGGCTGCCACTAAGCCCTGGACGTCGAGATTGGGGGAGTGAGAGGGTCCCTTCTACAACCCATGGGGGCCGCTGAGTATTAATAAGGTAAGAACTCAATAACTTTCTTATCGTGAACGGTGCCTTTAAGAATTCCTAATTTCACTTATAGCTTTGTTCCTCATGAGCAAAGCCCCTATCCTTGCATTAGGATCAGTCTTGAACTCACCATTTCATATTAATTCCTGCCTAAATGATTTCCTCTGGAATAAGCAAGGAGAATTGGCTTCTTGTAGCCCGGTCCTATTTCATACCACACCTGCTGCTCACTCATCCCATCCAGTGGCCCTACTTAAGCCCCGTCTTCTAATTCTGAACCATTTTCTGCCTATTTTTCATCCTTACCTCGGTCCAAAGAAACAGATATTGCCCACCCCAGTCTATCTGAATTGATTTGACCAAGCACTCGTCATTCTCTGTGTTGGAGAAGTTCATGTCGATATCATGTATGTTATGGGGCCTGCTCAATCTTCTTGAAAGGCTTTTAAACATTCTCTCATTCAGCTGCCTTCCCGTACTGTTTTCTCAAGAAGAGCATCCTCCAACTTTCTTTAATCAAGTCATCTTTCTTTGCTGGCCCTTTGTTAGCTCGTTGACACAGCCCATCGCAACGAATCAGATGCTAGGGAAGGCAAGCTAACCGTAGTTCACAATAACTAAATACTAAACCCCATTTCTCAACCCTACTTTCAAATTGTTCAAGTTTAGAAAGAAATGTGAATCAATCTATTGGGGAGGCTGCCAATCGTCGTCTCAGAATTTTTTTGCAACTCTCGGTCAATGTGAAGAGTTATGTGAATCGCCATCACGTGAACTTGCTCGTCAGTTTCTTTTGAAAATCTTATGTTAGGCCAAGTAATATGACTAAAGAGTGGAACTGCTTAGCGTACTTGAATTCACTATAAATCGGTCTATGGGTTGTACTATGATGTGCTTTAAATGAAAATTTTGCTATCAATTCAGTGGAACTACATACAATATACAATTAAAAGTTGCATTAAGGGACCACTACCACCGGCACTACGCTCAGAGAAAAAGGCAACTCGTACCCAACCATCTTCACATTGATAAGCTACATAATAGCATCAATGAAGGAAAAAGGGTGATCCAAATAAGTGATAACAAAGATTTTCAGTTTCGACCGAAGCAGTATGTATGGGCGTACTCCATGAGATCTTGAACGCTGCCGTTTTTCGTAATGAAGTTGGAGTGGAATTGTCCCAAAATGTAAAGGAGAAAGATGAAAGAGAATGAAATAGAAGAGGACTACAGAAGAATAAAGGATGAAGGATGAATTTCCCTAGAGCCAAACATTTTCGATATGCGCTCCCGCATCTGACATTCATCATAACCGCCTGGGTGTTATGGATGCGTATGTAGCCTACACAATGAATTGCGGTGACCAAATCATTGCTTTTATCTTCGCAGATGAGTCTGGTATCATTTACCTAAAGCTCTAGTGAGGGAAGGCTCGCCTGACTAGGGATAGTATCGATTAGGGATTCTCCCAACACACCGTCTACCACTAAATGAAAAAGATAAAGAGGATAACTTTGAAGTTGACAAATCCTGTTCTCGGTTGTGCTGGCACTATTCTAAATAGTAGAAGCTTTGAAACCCCTTTTTGACTTTTACAAAAATCGCGAGAACTCTTCCCGGCAGGTCTGGTATCAATTAAATCACCTGTAATGTATGGGACGTTTAGATGAACACGGACGGGTACCGGCGGGTTCTTGTACGTTTCACCCACGGTCAAACTCTTGGAACTCGCTCCTCTCAACCTCTCCCGAAAAATAAAAATAATTTGGAAGAAATGAACAGTAGTCAGATGAACAACGCGGATATGAGAGTTGAGAAATTACCGAAAAAAGCACAAACCTACTTCAGGTCACTCCAGAATCAAGTAAGTTTTCAAAGCTATCAGATAGTTGGGTACACAGACTTCATTCTCGAAAATCAGATGAAGTATGCAGACCATTTTCGTTAGCATCTCTATTTCAGAATCGTGTTTGGAGCCGTTCAACGATAGCTACCGTAACTTCTGCGATGGACTTTTCAAACAGCATTACTACTTTGATCTCTCTACGAGCAGCTGCAGGATGTTCTGGTACACAGTACATCCGGACACTTGACCGCCGGCATGATTAGAGAAGAAATGCCTTTTCTACTCAGGTTTGGAAATTGCCGCGGTACCGGTCAGAACATCTACCCGACAATGGAGTCCTGCCAATGGATCTGTGAACGACGGCGTGATGAACGGGTACCGGGTATGGCAACTTTTACTGATCGACTACTGGTTACCAGAAAATCATAGCGCTTTTTAGCTTCGTGCAGCGACACTTTCGATGAAAAGTATAAGGAGTCCTGCAGGGGCGGGGATTGGGTCGAGAAAGCTTATTTTGATGTAAGAGTGATTTTAATATATCATTGTTCCGTCGTCCTGTTCAGTTTGATATCAGTTGGTGACAGCTCATAATTAGCGGTAATCCTAGCTTTTATTGATCATGGATTTAGCATGGAAGCGGAAAATGCGTACAGTTCTGGTGGGATGGTTGCACGTCCCCATCTCAGAATATTTTCAACGATTTGAAGACTTGTCAAGGATTCTGTGAGCAACCAGGTTAGTAACAGCAGGAGCCGGAAAACCCATTCTGAGCAGAAAGTGAAGCAGACATTTGCCATCCAAAGGTCTCGGTAAGCTCTGAAGATGTCTGAAGTGAGATCGAACTGCTGAAGGCCTAGGAATGCTACAATGCGATTGGAAGTATTTATTTCAAACTTATCTCTTTTTAGATAACAAAATTTCTGAAGGACCTCCCGAGCAAGAAACAAAATATCGCTGTTTACAACCGTTGGAAGTTGGCACATGCAAAGAGACGTTAGTTTTTTCCACTCAGATATCTCGTTTAGCAACTCTGAAGCTCCCAATCAATCAAAGTCCTTGGGATCAAACTTAGCACTAGTTTTGAGGCACCCTGTCCAGATCAATTCACAGGGGGCTTTCGCAGAATAGTGTAACAGTAGCAAAGGAACCGAGAAAATCTGCGGAATTCGAGAAGTGCGGGAATCATCAACTGAGGTAAATCTATGGTTTGTAGGATAAAGTGGCGGCGGAAGTGTTAGGGCGAGACTTCATTCCGATGCAAGTTGCGTAAAGTGCTGGCTACAGTGTACCTGGAAAATTACTTTCTGCTACTTCCATAGGTCAAGACCCTAACCGATGCTTCATACGCTGCTTGCTTGCTTAACACATAAGATCCGTTGTGAATGGTTCAGTCTCCACATGGCCGTTTCTGAACGTAACCGCCGAAGCTCGACCCGACACTGCCCCATGCGGCTAATATTTGGGGCTCAGAGGCTCATTCACTTTTCGTAAAGCTCAGAAACCATATGTATGTTGACTGTGCCTTCGAGTTTTTTGAGCTGAATACATCATTCCAGATATCCCAACTACTATTTTGATCGCATTACGAAGAGTTGTCGACCTTTCTCCTATACGGGTTGTGGCGGCAACGATAATCGTTTCCTCACACTAACACAATGCCAAGGACTATGCGAGCCGTTTATGTACTTGACTGGTGGGTCTTCTTTAGCACTCAGTAATCTGTTGTTTAATGTTTTGAACAATTTATTGACCATTAAATGAAGAATGTCTGATTGTAAGCACTAGGGAAAAGAGCAAAGGCTGGAGTAAATTCCGGGAGTACAACTAGGGACAGGCGTGAGCGGTGGCGTCATAACAAACATGGAAGTATTCACTATCCTGTCTAACCTCCCATACCGAACAATTTCTACAGCGGACGCTTCCTGAATACTAATGTGGGCAAGCGAAGGGAGTTCAGCAATCTGGAGCAAAGCTAGTCAAAATTCCCGTGGTACCATGTTTGAGTCCTCTTCCAAATCAGTATTCTTCATTCCCCCGAACGAATCCCATCATCGATAACGGAGTTACGGTTGATTGGTTCTTTAACCTGAGTAGATACTAAAATTAAATATATCTGATATGACAAATTTTTAGATACGGAAATGGACTGCTACATGCCCTTAGATCATGGTCATGGAAAAACTGATGAGAAATGCCTGACAGATGCCGGCTTTCGATTCTATTTCAACAGAGACCAAGGTAAGAAACTTCTGACCGTGTCCCGAATGATTCTCCCTACACGTATTCCAATTTCCTAGGAAAATGCATTCGTTTCTGGTATCTCGGCTGTGGCGGTAATGCGAACAACTTTTTCTCGTACGAAGTCTGTCAGCGGTCATGCCGGACCCAGATGCGACGACTTGAGCGACGACCACGCGCGAATAGCAATGGTACGAGTTTTCGCTAGGTGGAGGCGAACTGTACCTGGATGCAGCTCTCCCTACGACTTCGTTGTGTACCTTTTTCGCCTTCTCCTTCAGGACTCTATAGGCCAACTGCTGCTGTTGAGAATAGACGAGCTATCTGAGTTTATTGCTACCATCAAGAATTACTGAGCATGACCGATTCCTATTTCAGTTTGCTTCCGACCAGCCGGGGATAAAGGCGACTGTCCCGGAAATAACAATCATACGGTACAGGTAAGATGGCTCTGAATAAACCACACTTAAAGGCACAGTTCATGACAACTTTGAGGTAGATAGTCCAAGTGAAATAATGGAAGGTATGATGTAGAATAACGCAAAGGTGTAGCGCGACAATCGACAGACATTATGAAAAAAGGCTTTTGAACGAGAATATGACGACAGAAGGGGCATGGAAGAGGTGGTTGGACGGGGTGCATGTCAAGTCGTGCGTCCGAGGGAGCACGCGGCAAATTGCGCGGCGAAGTTCGTGGCNGCGTTTAGCATTGGGGCCCAAATCTGAAGTAGAGTAGATTAAAAAGGTCGGCTGATCCTACTATCCTATTGTACCTCAAAATTGGACCCAAATTATAGGCGCCAAAGTCGTCAGAATAGGTATAAACTTCGCCGAGCAATTTGCCGCGCACGCCCTCGGACGCACGACTTGACCGTCCCCCGGTTGGATGAGCTGACAGTTGTGCACTATTGCGTAGAGCTGGCTACAATAAGCCAAAAACTTCACTGTCGCTATGGGAACACTTCTGGTAGGTAGCAGGAGTGGACCCGGCCCGGCCTTTATAAAGCGGAGTGTGTGCGAAAACAATGGTTGTATGAGATTACGACCAGTTGCTGAAGTTTTGTGAATAAAGTTTCCAAATCTGTGAATTTTGAATGTCTCTACTCGTCAGAGATGGACCTACTCAGCTCAGCAGCAGTGCGTGCAGTTCACGTATAGCGGATGTGGAGGAGGAGAGAACAGGTTTGTTGTTATAAATATGAATTATAGGTACAATAGTGTATAGTAACACTAAATAAGGAATGAAGGGCGGTAAAGTCGATTCATGGAGACTATATTTGAAGCACAAGTGGGCTTACAAAAAAATGCTACAGCTCTGGTCAAGCCCAACCGGCTCCCCAATAGTGAGGTATCTGTTTACTAGCTGGTCGGTCAATGACCCTTGGATTACCACCTATGTGGTAGGTTAGGAACGAGAATACTTCTCAGAGTACACGTGAATGAATTGCTCTAAAAATGGGAAAAATCTGATTGTAATAAAAAGATGGGAAAGTTATGAATTGGAAGATGGAAAATACCACATACTCACTACTGCTACTTAACAGCATTGGGAAGACCCTCTCCGATATATTCAGATACCTATTAATCAGGGTTCCCACCAAGGAGGTCGACCTAGACCCACCACGCACACCCTACCTCTATACAATGGTATGCCCTATTCTGGTTTCAACGTTACCACAGGAACTTCGCTCAAGCAAGGGCCTATCATCACCTGCCCGGACCGTTCTCCCTACCCGTGATAAAAGCGAAAGGGATTGGTACTGTGGGTAGAGGGGACAGTGTGCAGATTGAAGCTTTTCGCTCCGATTGACCTAAAAAAGAAGGCTGGCAAGTCAGCGATCACAAGCGTCATATCTAATTGAAGGCGTGATGTTCATGTATTCGCCGCCCAGAGTGGACGCTAGCAATTTCTTTGTCGTCAGCATTCGCTGTGAATTTCAAGAATATTTATCAACCCCGAAAAAGGAGTTAACTTATGACTAAGCATGAAAAAACTCAGAAATACACTAATGTTATACAGATTCGCAACAAAAATGGACTGTGAGGACACTTGCAAAGGACGGAAACCGAGCGCTAACTCAGGTTGGGTTTCTCCTTCATTTTTCTAGAAAATGATGCCTTATTCTGAAGAACTCAGCTAAAGGCACAGCGACTTCCCCATAAGAGGGACATAGTCGAAGTGTTGTCACGAAATGGTTCCAGCTATCTGCTCCTACGACCCGGATTGGGGATCATGTAATCAATTACGGTATATGTGGTTCTACAATCAAACTCGAGGAACATGTGACCAATTTCTCTATGGCGGTGAGTTTCTAGACACAGGTTTATAATTTGAAAGAAATGAAAAAACTGTGTGATTTGAGGTTGCGAAGGGAATCCGAACAAGTTCGAAACTTTCGAGTTGTGCCAGAAGACTTGCGAATTGTCAGGATTGGGTGAGAAAACCTTTATAGAAGTCGGATACAATAACTAGAAGTACTTGCTCCGCATTGTAAGAATGGTGTACGCGATAGTAGTGCGCTAACAATCCCAGATCCATAGGTACTCACGGAGCCGTGTCATTCCCCGACCATAGAGACCTCAGATCCTTAGATAGGAACATGTGGAAACCCTCCTGTCTTCCGAAGAGGAGGACCACAGCCCTGAATAAAGCCTCTGTCAGACGCATGTCATCCTCTGTCGGTTACATCTCTTCAGCCCAAGATTGGTCACCAGGTGACTCCTGCGAGGATAACTACGCTCATCTAGTGCGAAGCACAACTTCAGCGGAGGAAGGTTCTAATGCATTTCTTTCAGACTTGAAAAGGATGCCGGGCAGCAGTTTGCTATTCAGTCACCCATTTAGGCTCTTTATAAAACGCGGTGTTAAAAACACATGGTTCATCCTTCACTGGCTTCACCTCTTCATGTCGCAGCGTTCAAAATAATTCAAAAACAAACGATTAGTATTTCTCCTGAAGACAACTTTCATAATTACAGACCCATGCATGGAACCGTTAGATAGAGGAAACTGGTGTGAGGCTATGTCAAACAGGTATGTGACATCGATTTTTAGTTAAAAAATTAACATATCAGGTCTGCCTAGTCAGGAAACAACATCTTTGGGCGTTGTTTAATCCCATCTAGGGAACGCGCTCTGCACTCAACTTCGATTCAGAATCGTAGTGGCCTATTGAATGCGTATGTGGTCAATATGACGCCCGGCGGCCAGCCGATATACAAATCAGTGGTCTTATCCTCCCAGACAAGACTGGAACCGATTAGCAAAGCAAGGAACTGTTCTACTAATTCAGAGGTGTCTGCTACCGCCCTGTCCATAAGTGACGTTATTTCGATTAGTAACTACTGAATTTTTCCATTATTTTCCCTGCAGTAACTCCTACACTCTGGTAGCACGTTTCTGTTACACTGAACATTTCATTCAATTTAATAAATGAAGTACTTCTGCTAGGTGGTAGGTGGCGTGGTGGCAAGTGGCGCACCTCACGTCTGCATGGTCACTGGTTCGAATTCGAAATCGATATCCGCCTAAGCCAACCAAGCCTTCCATCCCGTGGGGTCGACTTATCGGTAAAAGACTCGTCTGGGAGCATTAAAGCACTGACTTGTACATTGGCTGGCCAAGTCGTTCTGTAGGCCACATACTCACTCTATGATTCTGACTGGGAGTCGAATGCATGGGTGCACCCCTCAAACAGGAATGATTAACGCCCAAGACTTCAACCTTATCAATTCCGCTTTATTTCAGGTACTACTTCAACAAACGTACGAGGAAATGCAAGGGTTTCCATTACACAGGATGTGGTAAGAGCGGAAACAATTTCCTTACAAAGGAGGAATGTCATGATAAGTAAGTTCCCGTTCCTCACCCATTTCTCATTGCCCAACAACCTCGTATTTGGATTTAACCTAAAAATCACAGATGTGAAAAACGGTATCCACGTCACGTCGCTTTACCTACTACCTCTGCTACACCTCCAAAGAGCAAAGGGAAGAAGAAAGCGCCACTTCCGGCTGGGTGTAGGCTTTT